ATGACTATGCCTTGTTTATACATTTTCGAAATCTTGAAATTTGTAAGGGATAACTCAAATGCTTTTAAAGCTCTAAATCTGCATCATGATTACACAACTAGATTTGGACTTGATTATCAATATGACGTTCATCGTCTTGAGCTTTACAAAGCAAATCCTTACTACATAGGGGCTATTTTGTATAACAAGATACCTATTAGCAAACGTCAATTAAATCAGAATGAGTTCTTATGTTTTATTAAAAATATTTTATTGGAAAATGCATTCTATAAAGTGGAGGAGTTTCTAAACTTTACGCAGTGGAAGATATGAAAGAATACTTATGTAATGCAAATTTTATCTGTAAATATTTTCCTATATCCTGTATGTGATCCTTGGAAATAAACATCTATCTATCTATCTATCTAAGAAGTCCATTATGCGCTTTTTCACGAGCTTTTCAATCACCTTTGATATGGTAGAGAGCAAAGATATTGGTCGGTAATTTGACGGATCTTTGGTATCACCGTTCTTGTGGATTGGGACTACCAATGCCTGTTTCAAAATATTTATTGAAATGTCATCTAATCCTGCTGCGGTTTGGTTTTTCAAAGATTTAAAAGTACATTTTATTTCTTGAACATCTGTAGGTGAAAATGTAAAAGATTCATCGACTCGCAAACTTTCAACATATCCAATCGGATTGACATCCGATTTCAGGGATGAAATAAGTTCATTGGCAACATTGCAATAAAAGTTGTTTAGTATATCGGGTTTGATATCGATTTCCTATGGCTTTGTGCTACTTTTTCCTGTAACTTCTCTGACAATGCTCCATGTTTCCTTGAACTTATTTGTGGCCTTGGTTAGACGATTACGAATAAAACGACTGCTTTGCCAGATGAATCAATTTTCTGTATTGTTTTCGGTATTGGGAATAATAATGTTGAATAAAAGGAGTATTAGGGTAGTGTTTTCTTATAACATTAAGAGACCTCAAGTTAGCTGCAGTCACTGCAGATATTTTGATGCCCTTTGTCAACCAGTGCTTTTTATGCCTTTTTTTACGAAGGGGCCTTAGAGGAAAAGATTCACTTATTAAGTTATTTACGAGATGAAATTCTTCAAGGGGATTTGCCTTAGAAAGAATGGGTTGCCAAAGTGTCCTGGTTGAGATCTGCTTAAAAATGGAAAAGTTTTTTTTGCTAAATATTCTGTCACATTTTCTGTAAGAGCTGTTATGTTTGAATTTTAGAGACAATGAGGTTACAACGGCATGATGATCAGAGAGGGCGGGGTCAACGACACAGGATTCAAGGTCAGAATCAAGATTGGAGCAAACATAGTCGATTATCGTAGATGTTGTTTCTGTGATTCTTGTAGGTTCCTTAACGTGCATTCTCAGATTGAATGATCCCAGGAGGTCAAGTAAAACAATGGTAGAATGTGCTTCAGGATCCCCAAAGTCAATATTTAGATCTCCTGCAACTATTATTTTAGAATTTGATGGCATGCTTGACAAAAGAATTTCAAAATTATCAATGAAACTTGAGATTACTATCTAGTGTGCGATAAATGCACAAAATGTACGCATTAAGAGTTTTTGAGAACAGCAACAAAAATTCAAATATTTTTTCAGATATTAAAAAGTCAAATTTGTCACAGTTATGAAAATCTGACCTTGATGAAAATTCAGAACTTCTGAGTATGGTAGTTCCACCGTTATTAGAGGAAGTTCTACAAAATTGTGACAAAATGTGATAATTAGGGATGAAAAAGGGTTCTCCCTCTTTGAGCCAGTGTTTAGTTAGAAGAACTAGATGGTGGGGATGGTTTTCGTTTTCCAGGAATACATATAACTCATCAGTTTAATTTCTTACTGACTGTATGTTTAAGAGCATTAGTGAAACATGGTCTAAGCTGTTTGGGGAGGACCCTTTATTTGTGTCATCTTTCCCCCTAAAAAAGAACAATTCAGGTTCATATTGCTTCCGTTACAGCTAGTATTTAGTTCATCAAATAAACTTATCAAATGGGATGAAGTACCTAAACCAAAAAACATCCCGATCCTATCCAAAGCCTGGGGAGACATAGAATTCTGGGAACTGTCGGTCGGCAAAATACATTGGTTCAATTGAGTCGATTTAGAGGCTGGGCCAGTTTTTTTGTTCATTAGTTTACTCTGCAACACACTGAGTTGGATTGATTCAACAATCATTTTGCGTATCAACCAGTTCCTCATCTTAATACCATGGTTGATATTGATATTTATAAAATCAAAAGATTTATTATAAGTGGTGTTATATGTGTTATTGATTTGTTTGAGACAGTTATTAAATTGTTGTATGAGATTGTTGCTGCTTTGGCTCTTTATTGTGCTGGGACATGCTAAAAAAATTAAATTTGTGTTTGAACATACTCCTATTTTCTCATGAATTTTATGGAACTTAGGCCTACTTCCACTTAAAAAATCATTTGAGCCAGTAACAACAACCACATAGTCATCAGAATTATAGTTTTTAACAGTCCTTTCAAGACCCTCCAAAACACTGTCATAATGAGCACCAGGTTTGATTACAGATTCCACCCTGTACTTGCCATTGTCTAGATGCTTCAGAATATTGCGGTCCAAGTTCTTTCCATGTTCGACGGATAGAATTAGAAGTTTTCTATCATGTCTGCTTCCAATTTGCACAGTATTCCGATTTGAAGGGCTGAAAAGCACTTGTCAGGAAGGTCTATCAGTTGACTAGAACCTTTACTTATCTCTTCTCTGAGGCTGATAATATGCTTTAAGTGGTTTGCATTTTCTTTTTCAAGAACACCAACTTTAGTCAACATCCTTGTAATTTAAGACTGACTTATCAAGGTTTCGTTATGTTCATTAACCTGTGATAAATTAGCTTGCAATCCCTCAATCCTTCCGAACAGTTCTTCGATTCTACGATTACAGCTTTGTTCAAATTCTTCGGCTTCATCGCTGATGTAGAAACAAATTGACCAGAAAAAGCATGTCCAACCTTGACAGACTGTTGGAGTTGTGAAAAATAGGTATGACCTTAAAAAGCTACAGGAAGAGAGACCAAAATTAGCCAACTTGCTCAGCAATATGCAGTGGTATACCTTGTCAAATGCCTTTGCACAGTTAGTGTATATGTTACGGTTAATATGCAAACTTGGCTAGTTTGTAAACTAGCTGGATAGTTTACAAACTAACCAACCCACTGGCTATTTTGATAGAAAACACAATTTTTACTAAAATAGCAGCTAGTTTACAGACTAACCAAGAGTCTTGGCTAATTTACTTGAAATTAGTGAGGAAACCAAAATAGCTGGTTGGTTTATAAACTATCCAACGCAGTTTGGCTAATATAAAAACCATATTTTCCAGTAACACAAAATAGCCAAACCTTTGGCTAGTTGTTCAAACGTTGAGGTTATGATTCCATTTCAGTTGCCCATGCAACAAATAAAACAGAAATCGTCGTAGATGTGGACTGTATTTTTATAGGTCAACTCTTTAAACTGAACTTTTACAATATACTGATATTAATTACAAAAATATCTTATTAAGTTTTTAACAAAAATGGTGGGTTTTATGGCAAAAACAAAGTTGTTAAGTAGCGGCGAAAACGGGCTCTGCTTCTTGCTCGTTGATTCTGTCAGCTGGGTTCTGGGGGTCGGGCAAAATGTGGCGGTGCCGTACGGCGCATAAAGCGCGATTTACAAGATCGCGACACTAGTTTACAAACTAACCATCCAATTATCTGGCTAATTTACAAACAAAGTTAGGTTAAAGAATTTGAAGCTTCTTTAATAGATCTGTATAATAATAAAGCAAATAATTCCCAACTTTACAACAAAGGAAATCTGGAAAAATATTATGTAGCTTGTATGGACGATTTGTTTGATATTATTGAAAAATCTCACCAATCAAATGACTGGGCACGGCAAAAGACAAGTTACAACAAAGCTAATAAATCAAAAATATTCAAATATTACCCAAGAAATTGTAACTTTGTTCCTAGATGGATGTGAGAATTGCCGGGTGAGAAAAAAAAAGCAAAAATTTCCATTTTATTCATCTCTAATTTATCGAATAACAAATACCATGAACATTAAACTTTATTTGTAAATTAGCCAGAAAATTGGTTGGTTAGTTTACAAACTAGCCAAAGGTTTGGTTATTTTGTGTTACTAAAAATCATGGTTTTCAAATTAACTAGGCTGCATTGGATAGTTTATAAACTAACCAGCTAATTTAGTTTTCTAAATAATTTCAAGTAAATTAGCCAAGACTTTTGGTTAGTATGCAAACTAGCTGCTATTTTAGAAAAAATTGCGTTTTCTATCAAAGTAGCCAAGGGGTTGGTTAGTTTGTAAACTATCCAGCTAGTTTACATTAGTTTACAAACTAGCCAAGTTTGCATATTAACCGTAACATATCATCCAGTTGTTTCTTATAGTGATGATATTAGACACACATTCCGAGAAACAACATAGGTTGGTAACTGTAGACCTGTCCTCCAGGAACCTATGTTGAAGTTGCGATTAATTATTATAAATATGACACAAAAGGTCACTGCACAATTTTTTTTTTTCAAATATCTTAAGTACTTAGACTATTCAGTATTCAGTATTTATCTTGTGATCAAGTTACCGGTAAGCTTATCTGAAGATGAATAAACCGGGCCTTATTCGGCTAGCTAATTGTTTGCTACATGTTCATTTTTGTTTCTTATCCTGCCTGGAAACCTGCACAACCAATTTAATTTGAAAATAATTTAGGGAATCTGCCCAAAGACTGCTGAATAAGGAACGAATTCTATCTTGTCTTGTGAGTTCACTGAACTATAAACTATAATACTTTTATTTCGCTTTTCTACGAGAAATTAAACAAAAGGGCAAAAACGATGTAAAATAAAAAAAAAACCTCTAGCGCCTCTAGCACCAGTTCATTGGAATCTGAAGGGCTTTTTTACTAAGTACAGTACATGAAGAAGAAAAGAAGGTAAACTCACCGTCTTCCAGGTCTAGACCTCATTTTTGCTGCGAATAATGCCTATTTGGAATTTGAAACTGCCTATGTGGAACTAGAAGTAAAAAATTCAAATTCTATATGCTTAAAATTCCATAAACCCCATTGAAAAATCTTCAAATAAGAACCAACCAACAAAGAACAAACAAAAAACAAATAAAATGGTTGCCTTTTTGTTGTTCAAACTTCAAACTGTCAAACTTCAAAATGTTCAAATTTCAAATAGTTCAAACTTCACATTCCAACTCCGAGTTTTTTGACTCATATTGTGAACTCAGAGCAAAATACAGAATGAATAATGCAAAAATCAATAAAAAACATAGAAGTCTCCATTGAACGGTTCAGATCAGAAAGAGCAAACAAATTGGAGAAAACTGAGAAAAGATTCTGACGGCTCGAGCGGAGTATGGTCAGTCAGTGCTCAAAGCATCACGCAATTCTAATAGCGTTTTCTGTTGGTAAAACTCGTGCTGTCCGAGTTCTGCACTCAACACTGAATCAGTTCACGTTTAGTGCAATCCCAAAAGAACATGAATGATGTTTTGTCATTCTTTTCAAATTTATTATTTAACGATCCCTGATCCCTAACCTAACCTAAAGATATTTTCAATGGAATAAAAATTAAAAACGTTTGTGTGTATGAAAAAGTTGAAAACGGAAGTTTTTCCTGTATGTAAAGTACATAATTATGCTGTCTCCCGAGATGTGCAGAAATAATTCCAATGATACCTGCGTTGAAATTAATTTTTATGTCAATTTCAATAATAAAATTTTGAATTTTTGGTATCTCATTATCCCTGGAAAACATTCAGGCCTATGATGTATCCTGTCCTGTTATTTCAACATCTGTGTTAAGGCTCAACATCTATTTCTGTCTCTATTTTGACGTTGCTGTTAAAATAACAGAAAATGATACATCATATAGGCCTGCGATTGTAGATAATAATAATAGATCTGTTTCTGCAAAAATCACAAACCAGTCAAAGTAAATTTCATTGGTTGAAAACAGTCAGAAACAGTCAGAAAGCTAGTTTCAACCAATGAAATTCACTCTGACTGGTTTGTGATTTCTGCAGAAACAGACCTAATAATTCTTCCTCTTCATCGCTGTCGCTCGACGAAGATAAAAAATATAGAATTTTATCAATATCGATATCCATAATTTTTTGGTTTTGTTCATACACAGACTTTTCGGCACTTTACGCCATCTTTGTTGTGCCCTGACATTGGCACGAGCTCTCTGACCTCGTGCTGGAAAAGTTGCACGAGGGCAATAATTGATTGCCCTGGTTTTCCAATAGAACATAAAAACCCGCTCGGAACCTGCCAACAGAACATAATTTTTGCATGAGTGCAGCACGAGTTTTACCAACAGAAAACGCTATAAAAAAAAAGTCTGTTTTTTTTTTATGGCTGGTTTATACAACATTTGCATAGTCGTAATCATAATCATAGTCTTAGTCATAAGAGTTAAAATAATATTTTCTTATGGAACCGTTTATACACAAATCATAATCATAAGCATAAGCATAACTCAAAGTTGGCAACTTTTAACCTTTATGATTGTGACTAAGACGAGATCCAAACTGCGCAAGCGCCATTATCAGCTGTTACAGAGAAAAACAATTCAAATCTGCTATTTTAAATCTGTGTGGATTTAAATTGTGGCTGGTTTATACAACATTTGCATAGTCGTAATCATAATCATAGTCTAGTCATAAGAGTTAAAATAATATTTTCTTATGGAACCGTTTATACACAAATCATAATCATAAGCATAAGCATAAGCATAACTCAAAGTTGGCAACTTTTAACTTTTATGATTATGACTAAGACGAGATCCAAACTGCGCAAGCGCCATTATCAGCTGATACAGAAAAAAACAATTCAAATCTGCTATTTTAGTTCGGTTTGTATTTAAATTGATCTTGAGTCATTCTAGAGTATTTAAAAAAAAGGGTCTCCATCGAGCTTCTACATGTCTTTGAATAATGTGGCAAAATGCCCTTCCTTCTGCCTTTTTTTTATTGATGGGACTCACTTTCCACCTTCTTTGTTTATGGTTTGCGTTTGTTGAAGTTGTTTATTAGCAAAACTCAAAAATAAATAGGACAGACCTATCACTTGTATGGTTTTCTTTCGCAGAATTTTAATTTCCACACTTTTTGAAACTTTGAAAAAGTATTAAAAGTGAATAGACGAGTTCGATTCGCAAAAAGTAAACAAATTCTCCCTACAAAAAGTCGGGTTAGAGTTGAATTTATTTTATGCTTATGACATATTGTATAAACGCCTTCTAAAATTGTGATTATGATTAAGACTAAGACTAAGACTATGATTATGATTACGACTATGCAAATGTTGTATAAACCAGCCATTGATCTTGAATCATTCTAGAGTATCCAAAAAATTGGTCTCCATCAAGCGTCCACAGGTCTTTGAATAATGTGGCGCAAAACTCAAAAATAAATAGGACAGACCTATCACTTGTATGGTTTTCCTTTGCAGAATTTTAATTTCCACACTTTGTGAAACTTTGAAAAAGTATTAAAAGTAAATACAGGAGTTCGATTCGCAAAAAGTAAACAAACTCTCCCTACAAAAAGTCGGGTTAAAGTTGATTTTATTTTATGCTTATGACATTGTATAAACGCCTTCTAAAATTGTGATTATGATTAAGACTAAGACTAAGACTATGATTATGATTACGACTATGCAAATGTTGTATAAACCAGCCATTATATGGCTGGTTTGCATAGTCGTAATCATAATCATAGTCTTAGTCATAAGAGTTAAAATAATATTTTCTTATGGAACCGTTTATACACAAATCATAATCATAAGCATAAGCATAAGCATAACTCAAAGTTGGCAACTTTTAACCTTTATGATTGTGACTAAGACGAGATCCAAACTGCGCAAGCGCCATTATCAGCTGTTACAGAGAAAAACAATTCAAATCTGCTATTTTAAATCTGTGTGGATTTAAATTGATCTTGAATCATTCTAGAGTATCCAAAAAATTGGTCTCCATCAAGCGTCCACATGTCTTTGAATAATGTGGCGCAAAACTCAAAAATAAATAGGACAGACCTATCACTTGTATGGTTTTCCTTTGCAGAATTTTAATTTCCACACTTTGTGAAACTTTGAAAAAGTATTAAAAGTAAATACAGGAGTTCGATTCGCAAAAAGTAAACAAACTCTCCCTACAAAAAGTCGGGTTAAAGTTGATTTTATTTTATGCTTATGACATTGTATAAACGCCTTCTAAAATTGTGATTATGATTAAGACTAAGACTAAGACTATGATTATGATTACGACTATGCAAATGTTGTATAAACCAGCCATTGATCTTGAATCATTCTAGAGTATCCAAAAAATTGGTCTCCATCAAGCGTCCACATGTCTTTGAATAATGTGGCGCAAAACTCAAAAATAAATAGGACAGACCTATCACTTGTATGGTTTTCCTTTGCAGAATTTTAATTTCCACACTTTGTGAAACTTTGAAAAAGTATTAAAAGTAAATACAGGAGTTCGATTCGCAAAAAGTAAACAAACTCTCCCTACAAAAAGTCGGGTTAAAGTTGATTTTATTTTATGCTTATGACATTGTATAAACGCCTTCTAAAATTGTGATTATGATTAAGACTAAGACTAAGACTAAGACTATGATTATGATTACGACTATGCAAATGTTGTATAAACCAGCCATTAAAGATAATTCCCCAAGTCAAAAATTTAGTAACTATGTTGGCAACACAAGCCTTTTCTACATAAAATATTTGAAATCATTGACAATTTTATATTGCATTGCCAACATAATGTCATTTTGACTTTTATCTTTAAAAAAAAAAACAGATTTTATACAGAATTCGATCGATACCACCGGTTAGATAGAGCAATGGAAAATGAAAGCGCCTAAACCGAAAACGCCATTTCCAAAATGACACCCCCATAAAAAATGTCAAAACAATAACATAACCTAACAAATTTCATTCTTTGGGGAAATCGGAAATCCTCAAGTTTGTTTATGTTGAAAATTTGGTATATGGTGAAATAATTTAAGTGATATCTATTTATCTACCATCTAACTATTCATAGAAAAGTAGAAATCAAATACATTTCTTACCTCTTGCCCTTGGATTATGAATTATATTTTTGATCTTATTTTAGATGATACTTTGTAGAAACTATATAATTTTAAAGATCTAACAAGGTTCTGTGGAAAAAATGGATAGGGGAAAATCCACGCAGGGCACAAGAGGCCCTAAGTCTAAATTAACTCAGCAGCTACCAGATTCCTTTATTGCGCTTGGAGCTAAACCAGGAACATCACGAGATGATCCCAAAAGGACTATACCTTTGCCAAAGAGCTCGGTTGGGTCTACAAGCAGTGGTATGTTTTGAAAAAGTTACACTACCAAAAAAGTAAAATGAGAATACCTAATGTAAAGCTTATTTTTCAACACACTTGAGATACCTTTACTACTGATATTCTTTGATTATGACTTTTTAACATACAGAATTGTTATAGATATAGGAAACTATGTATCTACAATGTGTCCCACTGGAGGTCCCACCTAAGGACTGACCACCCTTCTAAAATTTTTATTTTTCGATTCAATACATTTTTTTTTTGTATTATATCTACTCGAGTTTGGCACTTATTAGGCTCATAATTTCATTTCTGCGACTGTACTGGTGTATGTACAGGGTGTCCACATTTATAGGCTCAAATTTCAATAAGTAGTAAGGTACAGTACCCAATTGTTGACAGGTTCCCAAAAGTTGAGCATATTATTAGCGAAAATAAGAATTTATAGAGGTTATAAGCTAACTGAAATAGCTTATAGTATTGTTGGAGCCATCTTGCGTGCTATAGCTACTGTATGGATTTGAAATCACAAGTTTTTTCAAAATGGTGGCAAGAAGTAGTAAACAGGTGCAATTGTTTGAACTTTTTTTCAAGATTTCTAGTGAAAGTAGTTAAGAAGATATAAAAACAAAAGTTCTCAAAGCTAAGGTAGGGTTGATAATTTATGAATAATATGTATTTATTGTATACTCGATTGTATAATAAGATACATTGTAATACATATTTATTATTGTCTTATCTCTTAAACAACTGGCATACACTTTTTAAGGGGGGGTGTCAACTATTGGAGCCCAAATCGAGGGGTGATCCAAATGTGAAAGTAGTTAAGAAGATATAAAAACAAAAGTTCTCAAAGCTAAGGTAGGGTTGATAATTTATGAATAATATATATTTATTGTATACTCGATTGTATAATAAGATACATTGTAATACATATTTATTATTGTTTTATCTCTTAAACAACTGGCATAGACTTTTTAAGGGGGGGGAGGGGGGGTGTCAACTATTGGAGATTGGAGCCCAAATCGAGGGGTGATCCAAATGTTGACCTAGTCTCAACTTATGGATTTTTGGAGGTAAAAATATTTTAACATTGTAGTCTGTCTCTTTTTATTGCTCTGGATTACAAAGAAACCTATATATGGGTTTGGGGAATGTAACAATCGTAGATCCAATAGGTGACACCCCTGTTACCCCTGTCAATGTTTGGAGCTTTGTAGTGTCAACAATTGGTCCTTTCAGGTTTAAATCAAGAGATGGCTTGTGAAAAATGGAAATTGCTGAAATAATATGCACCAGAACTACCAGAAGACATGATTGCTGCGTTGGATGATTGCAATAGGGGACTTACTGTAGCTACATCAGCAAAAAAACACAATGTACTAATGCTTTCCGAGCAATTTCTTTTATTACCAATTTGGAATTGAAATTTGTATTTTTTTCCCAACAAAAAGTTGTTATTTTTTATTATTAAAAATTTTGATTCTTACATTATTGATGTTTCTACCAGAGTTTCTACTGATACAGGCAACATGTCAACTATTGGTTTCAAGAGTGTCAAGTAAGGGAACCACAACATATATTTTAAAAAAATTAAAATAATTGGTTATTATGTGCATATATTTCATTTAAAAAAATTGTACACTTAGAAAAACATACTTCTTAGTTCCACAGACCGTGATAAAATTTCCAAAAGTAAAAATTTGGTTTTGTAGAAAAATATATGTCAACCTTTGGACCAAAAATATGTCAACTTTTGGCGAAGTGAACTTTTTTGTGTGTCAACTATTGGGGTTTTATCACCTTTCAGGTATTTTTGGCATAATAACACAAATAATAGGAATATAGGGTAAATAATATATCTAAACATTTAATTGTGAGTTTGAAATCACGCCAAAAAGTATATCAAAACCTTGGGTTTGAAAATTTGAAAAATGTGTGGTGATCATAAGCAAGGATACCTTTAACATGTCAACAACTGGGTACTTTACCTTATTAGGGATTTTTTTAGAAAAAAATTGATAGCACATTCTTGTTTAGAATGGTCTAAAACACAAATGTACAGGGTGGCCCATTTTCAATGTTTTAATGGGCTATATCAAAAACGATGAGAGATATCAAAAATCTGGGAGCACATTCTCGAGCTCTTTTTTTGGGAAAATAATAATGGCGAAGACAAATCATGGCTAACTTGATGCGTTCAGAAAATACAGGGCACTTTTCAAATTTTGTCCAATTTTAAAAGACTCTAATTTTTTTATTATTCAAGATATCCAAAAACCAAAAATACTTTCTCTAGGCAGTTTTTCAAGTAGAATCCAGTGGTATGACCAATTTTTTATTCTCCAAAACTATGGAAGGTAAAGGTATAAAACCTTATATTGTCACAACCCCTATACGTTTCGTCCTGAGACGTCACAACAGGAGTGTGACCCGAGAAATAGTATGACGTCTCTTCTACGAAGGGACGTATTACCACATACTTATAGGCCACTCTGTATTATGTACCCTCTGTAAACTTGGCCTGACTGAAGCTAGGTTTGAGACAGGTCCAGAAGGGCGTTTCCCATTAAAGGTAGTTTGCACTGGACCTAGTCTGCTGCGTTCAATACTCCCAGAAGGAGCTAGGTTTGAAACAGGTCCAGAAGGGCGTTTCCCATTAAAGGTAGTTTGCACTGGACCTAGTCTCCTGCGTTCAATACTTCCAGAAGGGCTTTTCCGAGGGCGTTTCCCATTAAAGGTAGTTTGCACTGGGAGGAGATTTAGCTAGAGTGGCTTTAACAATTAGAGGTACTTTGCACTAGCCTTAGTCTGCCCGTAATGGATTTCGGCGCATCATTTATACCAAATAAATGCTGACTCGTCGACACACCTTAGTAAAATTGATGTACAGATTGGTATTTACTTAAGTAGTTGACAATATCATTGAAATCGCCTCACAAAGAGCTATTCAATAAAAAAATAATATACGGGGTGTCCCATTTAAAAAAACACAACTTTGGTCAATATTCCAAAATCGGAGGCATCTGGAGAAAAATTGGTCATGCCACTGGATTCTCCTTGAAAAACTGCCTCTAGAAAGTATTTTTCGTTTTTGGCTATCTAAATTAATAAAGAAATTAGAAGGTCTTCTAAAATTGTACAAAATTTGAAAAGTGCCCTGTATTTCCCTAAACGCATCAAGTTAGCCGTGATTTGTCTTCGCCATTGTTATTTTCCCAAAAAAAGAGCTGCGAGAAGAAGAATGTGCTCCCAGATTTTTGATATCTCTGCTGGTTTTCGAAATAGCCTATTAAAGCATAGAAAATGGGCCACCCTGTACTAATTTTTCTTTCAATACGATACAGGGTGATGACAACAAATTTTTACAATTTAATGAATCAAACCGCAAAAATTTTATATTGTGAGACAAGCTTACTACAAGTTTTGGTTGAGGATGTTCTAAAACTATGTTGCATCAAGTTTTGTTATTCTCAAGGCCTCAAAATATGACATTTTTCCGGTTTGGTCCATTAAATTTTGAAAATTTGTTGTGATCTCCCTGTATCATATTGAAACAAAAATAAGTACATTTGAGTTTTAGACCATTCTAAGCAAGAATATGTTATCAGATTTTTTCTAAAACAATCCCTAATAGTACTTATCGAAATTTGAGCCCATAAATCTGGACACCCTGTACACCAGTACAGCCGCAGAAATAAAATTATAAGCCTAATAAGTGCAAAATTCGAGAAGAAATAAGACAAAAAAAAAATGAATTGAATCAGTTAAACAATGAAATTTTCAGAAGAGTGGTCAGTCCTTAAGCGGGACACACTGTAGATGGAAAAGGTCCTACCTAATTAAACTCTTGATTAAAATGATAACCAGCAAAAATGCAATTCTAAAATAGTATTTTTGAATGAGATACACTCGGAGATACACAACTACAATACTAGATCAGAAAAAACTATTTATATATTGTACCTATATCTTATAGCAAAATTAATATAGGATCAAATTGTCCTTTTGGATCCTAATGGATCCACATCTAGGACGATTTACCTTATAATATTAAAAATGTACCTCGAAATGTACCTATGTGTACTTTTGAATTGTCTACAAAAAGACGAAAAGACAAAAAGAATATTTAAATTAAATGCGTATCGATTGGCCGCCCGGCGACATTTTGAGATAAACTGAGATATTTTTTTCTATATATAACTAGCGGCCCGCTCCGGCTTCGCACGGGTATAAAATATATAGCATATGTCACACTGAAAAAATGATTAAAATCGATCCAGTAGTTTTGATTTATTCATTATTGCCCGTGGCCCGCACGCGTTAAATTTGGAGTAAAACAATTCCCCTTTCCCTGTATTGGTTAAAATAGCTTCCTGCATTTGCAATGTAAGCGGAAGAAATGTATTTATTTACGACATCACATTGAAAACCTCAAAAATAACAGTATTTCTCCACTATTAATTGGATGTTATTATACATATAAACCTTCGTCTTCAATCACTCTATCTATTAAGAAAAACCGCATCAAAATCCGTTGCGTAGTTTTAAAGATTTAAGCATACATATATAGGGACAGAGAAAGCGACTTTGTTTTATACTATGTAGTGATTGTTATAATGATTGATGATATCAATGACTGAATGATCCAAATCACACTCCATATTATGAGTGTGACCCGGAACAAGGAATTTGTGATTTAAACATTCTAGCGATGGCTTCATTTTCATTAGCAAAGAAAACATTATAAGTATTATGGCTGTTCTTGTTCTGACCAGGACATATGTCAGAGTATAAAGTAATTTCTGTGATTTGATCCAAAGGTGAGGTCGTAAAATGTTTGTAGACCCTATCTGATTTGCTCCTCGTCCTCCGATAGCCTCATTTCACATGAAATAAAAACATTTGTTTGAATTAAGTTCGCGCATTGTTAAATTAAAAGTCCAGAGCTGGCGTTTGTAGAATGCAATATAGGTTTTGTACATGAGGCTTCCTAATCTCAATACCAGTTTTTCGAAATTTGTCTTCTGTCTCATAAATTTTTTGAGGTACTGGTTTTTTTTTCCTCAGGTAACCAACGTTTATACTCATTATAACATCTATCTGAAGTATAATGACTTGGTAGGTATTTTCTTTTGGAATCACTTCAGGCATAATGACTTTCATAACTTGGAATCAAAGATATATGTTTAGAAGCCAAATCAATGTCACATTTGGGTGTCTTGTTAGCCGGAATCAACTTTCCGCGCTTATCAGTGCCTATTAATCTAGAAGTCGAATCACGTTTGTTGCTAACTACAAACTTGCAGCGACAAACTCTGTAGGACTGAATATTGACTAGTTTGTAGTAAATTGAAAGACATAAAATCTCATTTTTATAGTAGTGTTTCATTGCAGAATGTTATTGATATGTAGGACTATTTACATTTTAATACATAAGTCAGATTGTTCCTACTTTGTAATTGGGTTTTACCTGTAGAGTATTGTATTATTTAATTAAATTGAGTACCTTCTGTACTTGTACCGCTGTTCCCTATAATAAATTAAATGGTCATGATAAACATATCCCGTTTTTCGCAATTTTCGACTTATACCCTTTTCCCCGCCGGGCCGCCAATTATATGATCTCACATAACCTATTTTGTTTCTTAACTTCCCAATTGGGATAATATTTATCAATTGACTTCAGTAAGTGTGATGCATCTGTTGATTTCATTCTATATTTTTCTCGATATTTTCTATACTATTATAATTACATAGTCAGTATGTAGGTACCCTTTGTTCCACGAGGGTTTGTACTTTTGACATATTTGCCTTCCTTGTTTCACAAATAAAATTTGACTGAAACAAATCAGTCAAATTTTATTTGGTAAAAAAGGAAGGCAAATGGTGTCAAAAGTACAAACCCTCGTGAAACAATCATTACCTATATGTTATTTTTGTGTATACAGGGGGATTTATGTAGCCGGTGCATAAGAAGTTTCCCAGTTTGCAGGTGGATTAGTAGAAAAAGCATCTAATCCACCTGCAAGCCAATGGACGGGTTACATAAATCACCCTGTATATGTTATTTTTGGTTATAGTCTTTTAGGTACGAAAGAAGTAAATAAATATTCCAATACATCACTGTTAAATATCTTGTTGAATTTGCTTGTTTTCCTTGTTACCAGTACCTACAATTTCAAATACTGATTTGAGAAATTGTTAACATCACTGTATTCATATATTTCTTTAAATAAATGATTTTCAAAAGTTTGGGAATAGTTATTGTAAGTTCTAATAATTACAGCTCCCACAGACAAATTGAAACGCGAAGGTACCAGTTCCAATCTTGCAGTGCCTCCTTCAAAAAAACTTAAGGTGGGTTTGACAGGAGTATCTAGATCTGGAATCATTGGGACTTCGGGCTCAAGTTTACTTCCCATTGACCGTATGACAGGAGGTGGAACTCCTAGTGTGGAACCCTGGGAAAATCTAGCGATCGAGTGTGATGCGAACGATATTTTTGATAAGATCATGCAAAGTTTGCAAGCAGATAATATAGACAAAACTGTAAGTGTGTTCTTTTTAAATAGACTTATTCAGTAGCAACTCAGCATTACAAAGTAACTGCAGTGACTTTTATGTCTATTCACTTAAATTTTTGTATTGCAATTGAATATTTTAATTTTTACAATTTTTAATTATTCAATAATTCCTGTTAGACTGGTTACGTGTTGGGAATAATCAAAGGCCTACGTTCCATTAAATCCAAGCCCTGTAAAATAACATGGTCCGCCTTACTTTCTGTAGCTAGTATTCGGCCAGAAATATTTACCAGTGAAAATGTGGTCAATGCCATGGCCCATGTGTTAAGACGCGACATTGTTGCTGGTGCCAAAGGGATGTATAAGAGCAACTCCCATGTGCATCAGATATTGCTTAACTTGATATGCCATGCTTTTAATGATAAAGATGACTGGCCCGAAATATTTGTGAAGGTAACTTTAGATTAGATTTCATGGAATATTTTTTTAAATACAAATTTCAGCTTTATGTTGAAGATGCAACTGGTGATAGAGTAATTATTGATAGTCCGTTTGCCAAACCGTTTGTGGACAATGTAACAGCAGCGTTTCATACAAAGGTGCCACCTTCTTCTCTGCTCAAATCGGAAACTTCCAGTTCGGCTGCTAGAGATACATCTAGCCCTTTGACAATTAATATCTTGGATGACGATGATGGTAATAGTTTGTATTTCATTAACTATTTACCTATCAATTTGATTCAGTGATCAGGAATTTATGTAACTAGTTGTATTGTTGTTAATAATACTGGCTGATCCTTAATAAAGAATTTCAATTTGGGTTGTCAGTTTGGCTAATAATAATTCCTGTATTTTATATTCATATTTCAAGTTTTTTTTATAGGTGCAGCAGAACAAAAGCAAGTAGTCGAAAATTGGCAAATAAAAACTACTTCCAGATACATTCATACACAGCAAAAAGTGGAACAAATAGTCTTGGAAGCCATCAAAGAAATATTAGCTAGAAGACAACAGCCCGAAAATATAAGCAAGAACTTTGTCAGACTCCTAAGTACAGCCTGTGGCTTGAATGAAATGAGAATCATTGGAGTATCCCGTATAGAAGCCTGGTTGCACAACCACAAACTGATGAAACCCGCCCAAGAGCTGTTGGCTTATTTGTGCTACAATTGTTCAGCAAGTTCACCTAGAGACTTAGAAGTTATTGCCCAATTGAGCAAGTTGAGACTTAAAAATAAGCAAATGGTTAATTATTTTAATAATTGTCTGCGGGAAATGGTAATGTCGTTTCAGGAGAATTTGTTTCCGCTTCTGAAGTATACTATCTATAATGAGTTGAGTAATGCAAGGAATCCGAATAATTTGATTGTTGTTGGAGCTTTGTTCCAGGTTAAGCCTGATCATGCTGCTGAAGCTTTGGCAGATATTTTTTGGGTATGTATTTTTACTACTAATAGTTAACAAAATTCAATAAATCCATACATTTACATTGTATTATTGCTTTTTTCTAGGAACTATTATTGAATAAAGATGACTATCACCGTTCACTGAGGGTCCTTCTCAAAGAAATAAATCGAGTGCTCAGGCACGATTTCAATCTTCTCAACGTTGTGCACGCATTATTACGCGAGCGCAAAGAATTGGTGCCGACAATGAGAGAACATGAACATCGCGAAAGAATGTTCCATGCTCTAGTTGACTTATCTACCATGTGCATGCTTTTATGTGTGAGTGCTCAAGTTAGAGATGCCGCGACTCAAAGTAAAAGGGACTTAACAGTGCTGAAGGCTTTTAAGACCCAGGTGGCCAATATTCAGAGGGAGTGCGTTGCGTGGCTGCAGGATTCGGCAGTGAGGATGTTTCGGCCAACAATGCACGAACTTCATCATTCTTTATTAAAGGTAGAATCACTTTTTTTTTTTTTTTAATATTCCCTAGGTGATCTTGTGAACGCAAATTTGTTGGGTTCTGATTCGTATAATTTTTTTTAGATTCTATTTTTGGAACAAGCAGAACACTATTACAAAATTGATTCTTGGCCTGGCGAAAATGAAAGAAATCTTTTTTTAAGATTAGCCAGCGAGGTACCACTATTGCAAGCCACTTTATTGCGCGTTCTTCTTATTGGTTTATCCAAAGATCACCCCACATCTCAAACGGATATGATAGACATTTTGGATCAACTAATCAAACGGGCAGCCAATTTACCTCAAGATTGCGGACCAACCTTGATGATTGATAAAGTTGAAATATTGGAATTCTTTTTCAATTTGTGCATGTACACTTATCCTGATAATATTACATTGCCTCTCACTTATAAACCTCCTCAAATGGCGATTACTACTTTGTATTGGAAGGTTTGGTTGATGTTGCTTATATTGGCCGCACATAATCCATTAACTATAGGCAGCATAGCTTGGAACAAATATCCTACTTTAAGAATGTTTATGGAAATGTGCATAACCAAGTAAGTACAAAGGACTCCATACAAACCTTATGGAAAATGGCTCTCTGTCAAATTGGTTGAACTTTTGGAATTGGGTAGATTTCGATATTCTGATTAAAAGTTATCATTGCGCAAAAATAATTCTGGGTACAGTTTTTGAGTAAATGGGCTTAAAAAATGGTATTGGAAATGCATGTAGCTTGATAGGTAGGTGCTCGACGCTATCAATCGATAGGTACTGTAATAGCCACAGTGTGAAATAGTTATATTGATTTTAGGATTTTTGAGTCGTATCTTTATGTATTTTAAACTAAAAATACTGTTTTTAATTATTTCGAAAAATACAATAGAGTGTTCTAGCCTAAAGCTTGGTTAAATAAAGAATAACGGTAAAGTCTGCTTCTCGGTAATTAAAAACAACTCTGCAACTTTGTTCACATTACTCCTCCCGCTGAAGTCGAAAACAATACGGATTGAGGTTTGTTTTCAGATTTCTGGATAATTCTTTCTTGGATGACTTCACGAAGTTGGGTGCCTCTTCTTCTGTAGAGTTGCCTAATTACTGTTAGAGCGATGATGATGAGAACTAACGTGGTACAACATATGGTAGCTATACTCCAGGTAGCCGGATAGATAGCTTCAGGTTTGAAGGGCATCAGTAATTCCGATTGTTTTTGGAGAACCTTGATTTTGTCCAGATTTACGGAATTCAATTTAAGGATTGTTTTGTTCCTTATCGGTGACGTCCATGTTATGATTTTGATTGGAGGTAGAGAAAGTGGTCCTTGATTTGGATTTGGATGGTTCCAATAATTATGCCACAGTTCAATGGAATTTCAATTAGGCTGGAGTTATTTATAAATGCGATTTCATTATTTTGGCACAGCTTCTGCATTTTTAGGTTTGTTTCGGTTGGTATGGCCAAGACGTATGTACTAGTGATAGGTTGCACTATCGGCATTGTAACATTGACTTAAGACAGCTTCACAGTTCTGGATTTCTGCTTTCTTGATCAGGGCTACAGCTCAGTCATTTAGTTGTGGGCTTACATGATTTTGAGCCTGAGAATTCTAAATAGTTCCTTCAATATCGAGTGTAATCTTTCGACTGGACTATCACTATTGGAATTGCCAGGTGTCGTAAAATAAATACTAATATTATGTAATTTGCAATAATCCAATAGCAAGGAATTCTTAAATTCTGTGCCACTGTCACAAGTAATTTGTTGAGGCAAGCCATGATGGCCCAAAAAGGTTGATATCATATCAAGCACCATGATTGCTGTTTAAGCAGGTTTTAATGGGTATGCCTGAGCGTAACGCGAAAATACGTCTATTATTGTGAGAAATTTAACATTACAAATTTGAAATGTGTCTATATGAATAGACTCTGAAGGTAGTGTTGGAGAAGGTGTCAATGCAAATTTAATCTTAGGTGGGTGTCTATCATATTTCGTTTGCTGGCATATGTCGCAATTATTTATGTATTCGGTAAGGTCCATTTTCATAATTTTTTAAGAGCCATTTGAGCTTCATTCATGCCTCGGTCCGCAAGTTTAATATCCGACTCCTTAACGTACAAGCAAAATAATTGTTTGTGATTTACATATTCTTTAAAAAATTCAATAACTTCTTACAAATTTTGCGATAACTGTACCGTATACCGGTGTTTGATTTCAAAAATTTTTGATGTAATTACGTTATAGCGTTCGGTCTGTCCTTGTATTAAAATTACTTGATTAGCATAATTATTAATACAATTTTCTACTATCGGTATATTTAATATTGGATTTTCTATGGCCGAATGCACGGACTCATTATCACTTCCTTTGGTCTGAAATAATGGATATATTATTTGCATTTTTGCTGGTTACTGGGCGATTTTGTCCTTCAATTTCTTCTGGATTAAAAACGTCTTTTAGTAAATCTAGTTCTTCTTTAGTCGTATCTCGATTTTCAGCTATTTGCAAATATTTTCCAATTTCATTATTTATGTCGCCAGGGTTGCCAATTATTGATTCGTCTTCAGTTAGATTGATCTCTATGCGAGATAAAGCGTCTGCATTAAGATTTTGTTGACCTTTCTTGTATCGAATTTCATATCGAACTCTTTCATTTACCTTTCTTGTATCGAATTTCATATCGAACTCTTTCATTTTCAATATCCATCTGACTCTGACTAATCGTGAGCCCGGTTCTTTGATGTTAAATAAATATTCGAGTGGCTTATGATCGGTTACGATGGTGAATTTTCGTCCAAACAAGTATGGCCGAAAATATTTCGTAGCCCACACTATCGCCAGAAGCTCTTTTTCGATTGTCGAATAATTCATTTCTGCTGGCTTCAAGGTCCTAGAAGCGTATGCTATTGGTGGATCCAAAGACCAAAGTTCACTTTCGATTTGGCCTTGACTAAGCACAGCTCCAACTGCTACATTAGAGGCGTCTGTTGTTAACATGAATGGTTTCTCGAAATCTGGTTATTGTAATACTGAATCGTTGTATAGCACGTTTTTACAGGTTTCGAAGGCTCCTAGAAATTCTGTATTGTGTTCGATGATAGCTCCTTTCTTGAGGCATTTTGTGAATGGTTTTGTCAGTTTTGCAAATCCTTTAATGAATCGTCTGTAGTATCCTAACAGTCCTAAGAATGATTTCATTTCCTTTGCTTTTTTTGGAATTGGGAATTTATGGATTGCTATTAGTTTCCTAGGATTTGGTTTAATTCCATCTTTTGTGATCACGTGTTCAAGAAATTCAACTTCTGTCCTGAGAATTTCTGATTTGTCAAGTTGCACTTTTAACCTTCAAATCAAATCAAAATATCCTTCATTGTTACGAAGAACATCATCAGTTTTCAAGAACAAAGCTGTATATATAAAAAGAAAATAATAAGTATATCAAATAAAGCAAAAAAACCTACACATATGTATACCTACATAATTTAACTCGAGATTTAACTAAAACTTACATCTATAAAAATTTATTAAAAATTTACAAATACAATAGAAATGTCTTTATAAAAGCTAAACAGTGCAAAACAGACATAATACAAAATCGTTAACAAAAAAGTTGTAACCAGCCAAATATTAAATATTACATGCAGTTTAAAAAATTTCACTGTAAAACTCCTCCAAGGTGTAGTATGCTTTAGATTGTAGTAAATGTTTTACAGATCGTGGGAATATTTTATCATTGTTGATATTTCTGAAATCTTGTGATACGTGATTATAAGCTTTTAGTCCCTCATATATCAGTGATTTCCTAATCAATGAACTCTTTGGGATAGGTAGTCGCAGTTCATTATTTCTGCGAGTCTCATATTTAGAAGTTTCTTGAACATTTTTATATTTTTTATGTACCAAACTTGCAACTTCTACAATGAAGGGGCAAGTAAGCGTTAATGTTTTTTTTCTCACAAAGAATGGCTTACAGTGGTCTCTGGGCCCTAATTTGCACAAATATCTCAAGGCTCTTTTTGAAGTATAAACACTGATTGAATAAGGTGTTTTGGGGCATGACCCCAGAATGCTACTCCATAAGTCAAGTTTGACTGAACAAGCGCAAAATACACAGATCTCGATACAGTATGACTTAGATTATTGCTAACTATCCTTATTCTCATCATTAACTGTATTGAATTTTTTCTTTTTTAAGTTATAATTGTTGGATGGAAGTGAACAAATTATTATGACGGTTTTACACCAAAGAGAAACGGTTAGAGTTTTGTTTAGTTCAATTCAGAAAGTAGATGGGTGTTCATTATTTTATATTATTTATTAAGTGTGAACAGTTTTATCGGTAAAAACAGTTGAGTTTTTGTTTTTTAAAAAATCAACAAAACAGCAACTCAACTAGTCGGTTTGGTGTAAAACCGCCATTAGGTTTGTTTGAAAACATTTGTTAGCTAACTGACTTATGTCCCGGGATGCAATATTTATATCATTTACGCCCGCCATTACAAAATTGTTCTCTGTCAAAGTTTATTGAAAACAGTATATGCTTTCAGCCAGGTCCTTAAATTTTGCAAATGGCTTGGATATTACTTGAACTTGATAGCTGACACCAAGGGTTTCTTTAAGTGGGTTATACAGATGTTTTCCATATTGGTCAGTTAGGAGAACAACTCTGTGTTTTGGCTGAACATTACTTGTGCCACTGTCCCTATATTGTTTATTGTCGTTTAATTTATTCAAAGGATTATTATCAATAGTAATATAACGATTGCAATGGAAATTATCGATAATTTTTGGGAAATTTACCCGAATGCATTTTTAGTTGAGAAAGAGCACTCGTGCACTACGTGCCTTTTTCAGTTAAAAACGCATGAGTTCAAATTTATCGAAAATTATAGATATATTTTCATTGCATGAGTTGTATTTTATGAGAGAATTTCATGAATCAAAATTTTGAATTTTTTGTCAAAAAATGTCAAAACACCAGTTCTCGCACCAGTTACTATGCAATTATCCGATAATTTGCACTACACCATTTCAACTTCAATTTCGGAAAAAGTAACTTTTATTTAGGAAAATGTAAAGTCATTTTCGGAAAAAGTCAAATTAATTTCAGAAAAAGTAAAGTTAATTCCGGAAAAAGTAAACTTAATTTCGGAAACAGTAAATTCAAATTCGGGAAAAGTAAATTCAAATTCGGAAAAAGTATTAAGTGAACATAGTTACATATCTACTTAGAAAATCTAGCCGATATCGCTATTGGACGAATTAATGCTGGAATTTGTGTCCGATCATATAACCATGTCCAGAGGCATTATCCTGCAGTAATGAGACTGGATGATTTCAATCCGGGAACATAATATTTAGGAGTAATTTTTCTAATAATTGTGTATAATTTTTAATAATGTTATTTTTCTATGTAAATAACTAATTTTTTGTTTAAATGATACTCACTCACTTTTTCCGAATTTGAATTTACTTTTTCCGAATTTGAATTTACTGTTTCCGAAATTAACTTTACTTTTTCCGAAATTAACTTTACTTTTTCTGAAATTAATTTGACGTTTTCCGAAAATGACTTTACCTTTTCCTAAATAAAAGTTACTTTTTCCGAAATTGAGGTTGAAATGGTGTAGTGCAAATTATCGCGTAATTCCAATCTGATTGGTTCAAATCAACAATCAAAACGTCATTTTATTGTTGGAATGTTAATTTTGATAGATATATGAAATTCTCACAATAATCTTTTTCACAGTAGTTTTTGGTTGTTGTTTCTCGTATTTCACTATGTTCCGGTAAAATATCTTTAGTGTACACTAAATCTGTTTGTATGCCTGTGCTTTTCACTGTTTTGCCTGTCGCCTTCTGTTGCATCATCATCCAGATGGAGCTTGTTTTCATTTTCTAATATACGAATGGTTGAAATCATGCTCTAAGACATGTCATTTAGCTCCTTGATTTGTTTCTTCAGTTGTAATATTTGTTCTTCACTGTTTTTCATGTCGGTCCCAAACTTTTCATCATTTTCCTTAAATAGCGATATTTCGTTCTTCAATTGAATTATTCTCAGCTTTTGCTCCTCGATAGTGTTGACATATTTTTGTTCGGATTCGATTATTTCGTCTTCAAATACCTTGAAATTTCTCTTCAACCTTCTTACGGAGTTTTCTTTCTCAGCAGCTTCAATTTGTAACTTTTCGATAATTTGTTTGTGATTTGCTTCCTGTTCTTGTTGAATATTATACTGACAATTAGGGGAGCATAGTATCTTGTGCCCACCAATTTTCACAATGTCAGGTTGACTTTGGCTCATAATGCTCGTTCTGTACGTTGAAGGCTGTTTTTTCAATAGATCCTGGGTCCATCTCTATTTGGTGGAATCCCGAGGATAAATCTATGGTAGAAAAATAAGTGCATCTTCCTAACCTATCCAAAATATCGTTAATGTTTGGACGTGAATAGCGATCGTCTATAGTTTTTTGGTTACAGCCTCTATCGTCTACGCATATTCTCCATTTTTGTTTGCCGCTGGAATCTAATTTTTTGGGGACAACCCATAAGTATAGGACTGCTCCATGGACTTCAGTTCTGTCGGATTATTCCTTCATCCAACATTTTGTTTATTTGCCTTTGAACCTCTTCTTTATGGACAAATGGATATTGGTATATTTTCGAATGTATTGGTATTTCATCGGTGGTTTTGATGACGTGTTTTATTTTATTTGTAAAAGTTAATTTCTCTCCTTCCTGATGAAAAATGTCTGAGAATCTTTTAAGAAGTTTGAAGAGACTGGATTTTTCTTCAGTATCCAAATGATCAGATCGAATCAAGTTTTCTATATTTATAGGGTCTCGTTTTCTGTGGGATTTCTCTGGCAAGAGATCTTCCATGTGGAAAAAATTGAAAGTTTCTTTGTGAAATTCTGGTAAAATCCAGACCTGTAAGGGTTCTATAAACTGTAATGTTATAGGATTGTCAGTATAGTTGTAAATTTACGTTTGTGCATATCCGTTTTTTGCGGTACCTAGTAAGCGTTTCGGGAAAATAAAGCTGATCTATGACGCTCTCAGGTATAATGATATCTACATTATTTTGTGAGACTGGTACGTTCGTTGTAATGACCTCGTGAGCGTTTAATGTGTATTTCTTTATTTGGTTCTCTGTAAATGATAGGTATAGTCATATTTTCGCTAATTAATTTTTTATTTATTAGGTCAATTACAAAATTAAATCCTAGTAATTCGTTTAGTCCAATAATGACAATAATGCCATCAAAATAATGGTGAAAATGGAAGAGAACAAAAGTTATATCGGAGTCGTTTTTGAATTCAGGGAAAGTGGTAATTTTGGCTTTAAAAATGATTCCTGCTGAAGCATCAGTATCAGTGATTTCAACAGGCTGTTCTGTTTAGGTTCCATCAATTTGGTACAATTCTTGCGAAACAAAGTTCGAGGACCCGATGGCTTAAATAATTGATTACCTTGCATATTCTGATTTGGTAAAATATATCGAGATCTTGTGGACATTGGTTCCGGTTTATTTGTGGGTACTTCTCCTGTTGGCTTAAATACATTTTTCGGTGTGCCAAAAACCTGGTTATTAGTCGGGTAATTTCTTGGAATATATCGTGGTCGAATGTTTATAGGGCCTCTTGGAAATTGTGCTGGTTGAAAATTGTTGCTTTGATTGGGTATTTGGAATTGTATATTTGGTCTAAATTGAGTGTTGAAATTTGGCGTCCTATTTGCTGCTTGAATGATGTTGGGTTTTATTACTTATAGGCTTTGTTTTCAAGGTGGGAGTTTTATTATAGATATATCGCATATAGTTAAAATTGTTTTCTTCGTTCACTTGAGTCATGGCTGTTTCGATACAATTAGGGTTTTTGAGTCTGATTATACTTTGTTAGTTTGTAGATGTCCGGGTAAGCCTCTAATAAATGTATGTATGCACACTTGATCATATTGTCTCAGGTAGATTAGGTACTTTAGTGGCTGCATCCATATGAGTGTCTGGAAAAGTATTAGTTTTTTGAGCTAAAGCACTACGTAATACTTGTAATCTTTTAGCAAAATCTAATGGATTTTTATTTGGTACTGCCATAAACAGATCTTGTTCTAGGCATTCCAAATCTCTTTTGTCACCGAAGCAAGCAAATAAAGCAGCTTTAATATGATCCCAACAATCGAGTTCCATTCTGCTTCCTACTATTTGAGCACGATCTGTTAATTTCATTCTAACAAGTCTCAAGAGATAGTTTTGTAAAATTGGATCATTTGATCGATTATAGGTAGCAAAAAGGAAGTCGCAGGCTGATTGAAAACTGTTTACCATACTAGGATCAACATTAAACGGCATAATGGTGTCTGCACTTACCTTTTGGTTGTCAGTCTGATATTCCTGGTATACGTTGATTCTCCACTAACCACTCGTTGATTTCCGAAAATTATCCGTTGCGTAGCCCTCTGATAAAGTCAATTATTCTGGGATTTTAGTGTTCGTTTTCGGTGCCAAAGAGTTGCACTCACGTTTTTCTCGATCGAACAGTTTCGATAACGTGCTTTTCGATCGTAAAACTGCCCCGAATCCTACCGACTGCGCCAGTTATGTATTTTAAACTAAAAATACTGTTTTTTGAAATCAATTTTATTTCGAAAATTACATTGGAGTGTTCTAACCTAAAGCTTAGTTAAATAAAGCATAACGGTAAAAGCATAAATACAAAATTACTATACTCGGATTCCTAGCCAACAAACACAATTATTTAATTCTTATTAGTTCGTTACTATAGCCCTTAAACTTCAATTGGACAATCCAATTCAACATTCTTTAATAATTCCTACTCAAAATCGAATATTGTTAAGAGCATTATAATTTTCCTTTGTTAATTCTTTGCAAAATTAATTAAAATGTCATTATACTCGAAGGCAATTAAAGTTATGCAATAAAGTTCCAAAGTTAAATCACTCAAGTTTTTATGCATTAAAGTTGTCAATGTCAATTCACTTCTTATCATTCCGAATCATTGTTAAAGTAAAAAAAAAAACAATAATAGTCACTAGAGTACTTACATTTAAATTTTCACTCGAAAAATTACTTAATTAATTTACTTCAAAAATCTCTAGAGCTGGCACATAATGTTGAATGAATTAAAATGTTCTTTCTTTCATAATTTTTTCCGTTACTTTTCAAAGATTCGATTAAACCCGTTTTCCCGAGGCAACAATATAAAAGAAACTCTTCGCGAATTTTATCCGCACTGACTTATTAGGTACTGTAGACTTAAAACTGAACTGATGGACTGGATTTAAACTCAAACTGATCTCAAGACTTCTAAAACCGCTGTATTTATATGTTTCGTTCCCCCAAAATTTCCGAATTTCATCATTCATTAACCTTCCTTTTTTATTTGTTGAAAACCGAATAATTATGTCGCAATTTCCTGGTTTATCGGGGTCAACAGATTTCGTTTGTAAGAATGTGAGGACATATAACTATAACTCAAAGAATATCGATACACGTGTTGACGTCTCGGCCATTAATCACCGATTTAATTACTTTGGCCTCGCTTTTAATATTTTTATGGATTTGATTTAGATGATGATGTAAATAAAGGGAAATTAACGTTTTTTTGGATATTTTACATTTAATTTTTACAGTAAAGACATTGTAAATTACGGGTCTATTTTCCCGGGTCATTACAAACTCTTTAACATTGTTCACATAACAGCCGAGTTAAAAAAAAAAATTTGTTTCCACAGTTTGGCTATTTTAATATCGATTGATAGCGTTGAGCACCTACCTATTAAGCTACATATGCCTTTCCGTTTCCAAAACCATCTTTCAAGCCCATTTACTCAAAAACTGTACATGAAATCATTTTTACGCGATGATAACAGATTATCGAAATCTACCCAATTTCAAAAATTCAGACAATTTACCAGAAAGCAATTTCCCATAAGGCTTTTTTTGAAAAATTTCATAACTATCTACTAGCATATTTTTGTTTATGTACGACCTACACTGTAAGAGCTTATTACATAACTCATTTTAGCCTGTTTGAGTTACGTAATAAGTTGCATTATCGTGCTTAGTGATGTAATGAGTTCATTACATAACTCAGTGATGTAATGAGCTCTCATTACATCACTTAGTGATAATGAGCTCTCATTACATCACTTAGTGATGTAATGAGAGCTCATTACGTAACTCAGTGATGTAATAAGAGCTCATTACGTAACTAATTTTTATTGAAAAACGGCGCTTTTTAAACTTCATTTATCAAAAATTATAAATATAATCTTTTGTGAGAAATTAAAACCATTTCGAATATTAAAAGAATCTGGGTCGTACATAAAATGTTGTATATCACACGTACGGTAACGCTCATTACACCACTCGTTTGATTACCATGACTCGGTCTACGACCTCGTCTTGGCAATATTCCTCACCCGTTACTGTAATGAAGCTCATACCGCACTAGTAATATAAATAACTATTATTTTGTGACATTATTCTTTGGTTTTAAGTTACTTTTCATTTCCACCACCCACAATGATAAAACCAGACGAGGACTATCAATCCAAAGAATTGCAAATAATAACTGTTGAAAAACAAATAATCCTTGAATTTGAAACACATCTAGCCGCGGCCACAAGTCGAACTGAAATCACTGAAAAAACTAGTTTATTGTTACCTCAATTGATGGATCTTAATCCTCCTGGGGAAGCTAGGAGGCCGCCAGCTTATGTTATCGATATGCTTCAAGCCTTGAACCACAGTCACAGGCTTGGACATTTACTTTGCAAATCTAGATTGCCAGATTTCCTTTTGGATATCATGTCTCGACAAGGAGGTAAGGATTAATTATTTATATATTTGTTTTTTTGTATGTAGCAACCCCTTCAGCCAATTTGATCTCATATTATATTTCTATTAGATTTAGAAACGTGACCACCAAGCCCAGAGTTTTATTCATTTTTAGGTACAGCGCATATGCCCTGGCTAACCGAACTAGTTCACAGTTCAGAAGGAGTTCTATCTCACTTACCGGTGCAATGTTTATGTGAATATCTGTTGTCAACAGCCCCAGCCGAAAAACTAACGAAGCACGGTCAATTATTGGCTCATTTAAGACAAGTTGTTAACGATCCCGATTCTCAATCTGCTAATGAGGTTTTGGAATACTTATTTAGGCGTTTAACATCAGATCACGCTGCTAGCAGGGTGCAAGCTACAAAAGGTCTAGGCCTGATTTTATCGCCTACAGAAGATGTTGAAATAACCACAGAGAATTATAGTAATTGGCTGTCGCATTATATACAGCAATTTGCCCAGTATAATCTAATCAAGCCGCTTTTGGTGCAATTTTTAAGGCAAGCTTTACAAATTGAAAGTAATCCTGTGATTCTTTCCAGTTATATCAATTTTTTGGCAACACAAAATTGTTACGAGTCTTTTGCTGAGTTAACTGAATTGATTACTGATTTATCGTCAGTGATTATTGAGCGACATAGTATAGCTTCTTACGTTTTACCAGGACCCGATCAAATAACTTTAAAAAACCTTTTACAACTTTTTTGTCTGTACACAATGAAAGCCAGAGAAAACGCTGAAGAATCTTATACAATTCATGAAGTTTACGAATACGTTGTCGTTTCTTGGGAAACTGGAGAACAATGCGGCATGCAACCTCTACTTATACATTCAGCTATTGTTTTGTTAACATACGGTCCTTTAAGTAATTTCGAGCCTTTTAATATGCTCCTTAATATTTGGTTTCCTCTTAATATGGGCCGACCTAGGGCCTACTCTCCTGACACTGCAGAAACGACCTCATATTTACCTGATTGGATAAAATTGAGAATGATTAGATCAAATGTTCCCAGACTGGTCGATGCTGCTATAGAAAACTTGGAACCGCCAAAATTAGTATTATTTATACAATCTTTTGGTATTCCTACGACTTCTATCAATAAATTATTAGCTGCATTAGATAAAGCGACGATTTTGGATAAAAAAATATTGGTGGATTCCGTTTTGGATAAAACGTACATGATTCAATTGGTGGAGGTGCAGAAGAAAAGGAATGCTGTGGGCGGGGAAATTTTTGTCAAGTCAATTGAGATGCAATTGCCAATTATTGAGGATGTTGATATTGGAGTAAATGTTGGTACTAAAAAACCTCTTCATATTGTTGGACAAACCGAAAAAACCATTGTTTCTGAAAAAGTTTTACAAGAAAATTTTCATTTGTTGTTTAATCCAAAATTTACTGGTGATAAGAACAAGATTATCCTTAACCTTATTAAGGTGAGTTTTATTCAATCATTTGATCAGAATAGTAATTTTTGAGTTCATTAATGATTTTGAAATATTTCTATTTTATTTTCCAGAATATTAGTCTAAAAAAGAACTTAAAGGATACATTTTTCAAAATCATCAAAGACCTGCCAATAAATCTAGTACTACCCACCATATTAAAACACAATTCCTTTTCAACATTACTTCGTCTGATATTTTCCCATGATTCATTTGCAATAGATAAACAACTGTTAGCCAATCAACTGTTGACAGTGATACCCCACGAAAATTGCACGATTAACGTTTTAAGGCATTACCTAAAATCTACCAACAGAATAGAAAAAGTCGAAGAAAGAGAAGTGTCTGGCGATATAATGGAAATGATAATAAAGGAAGAATTAGTGACCAGTTCAAAGTCTGAAGTGATACTAAATTCTCCAGAGAATTTAGGACAAAAAGTAGTAAAAATGCTTTTGGAAGATAATATTGCATTAGAAAAAACTGGTCTATTGGTTGACTGGCTATCGATTTTAGAACTGGAAATTGCTAATACAGAAAAAGACAAATTACAGGTGGATCTCCTTTTCTCAAGAAAGCAACATCACTTTCGACCTTTATTAATGTCGCTGCTTTTACAAAGGGCCAGTTGGCAGACTTTGCATAATTTAATGACATTTTTGTTATCAGGCGATGCTTTCGATACAATTTGTCCTGTGTCAGTTCTAGACTATCTCACGGCGCTGACAAAAAGTCCCAAATTATGGCAAGGTCGTGACAAGGCAGTTCCCAAACATTCGCACTTGGAAGACGTATTAAGGCTTGGTGAAAATCAGGTAAATTACATTTTTATTTAAGTTTCTCCAAATAATTGACCCTTTTATTGAAGGTAAACATTGTTGTCAAATACATACTAGCAGAAGCTGAATTACATTCGCTTAGTTGGGAGCAAAAAATGGAATCACGGCTTCAGTTACTTCTTAAATTCATCAAAGGCTATGGAACATCGATTATCAAAAACTTGGTCCGAAATTCAGAGAGAAACGTTTACAGTAGAAAACTCCTACTAATGACATATATGGCACTACCTTCTGCTGGTCAAGGCATAATAGTTCCTAAACCAGAAATCGCATCTGAATTGCTAAGCATAAATTGCCCAAGTGCCATCGATAAAATTTCGCATTGTCTGTTTACTGCTATGTCTTCAACGCAAGCACGTTCCAAAGATTTGTTCAAAAAAAGCCGAGATTTAGAGTTGTGCGCACGTAAACTCGCCGCCACCCACCCTCTTCTAGTGCTACGCCACTTACCAATGCTCGCAGTGATTCTGAAAGGCAGAACCCAATACGATTGGAACATATTGAAAAGCCGAGGACACTTTCTGCTATTCGGACAAGTTTTAGGGCTAATTGAGCTGCTACAACCCTATATTTTCTTCCATCCGAACTCCAGCGCCCTGTACGAGTTACTGGAAAGCTTCTTTCAACTGCTTCAGTTTCATTATCAGCGATCTGAGTTAAATGTTATGGTCAAGCGGATAGTTACGTTTATTCTGAATTGGATGGTGCACGATGTGCGGGGTGGAGCAAAATTTTTGCACCATCATGGTGGAATTTTGAAGTAAGTATGAAATGGTTCCTATTACTGTTACATATTTATTAAATCGGATTCACAACCAATCTCTGAAACCGACGCCGTTTTTTTTTTAATGCGCATAATATTTATATATTTTTTTTTTCCAGCGACATTCAATTCAATCAACCTGGTGTACGTCCTCTACTTTCCAGCGTTTCCTTACCAGTGACTGCCGAAGATACGCCATCAAATCGAATTCTAGTGGGAGCAGTAAATCCTCCAACGCAAGAAACATATCCAGAACGATGGCAACATTATATTACTGGGCTTTCATCTTCTGATAGGCTAAATTCACTTCAAGAAATTGACCAACTCACGAAGTCCCGACCGCAGTTATTAGAAAGTGTCTCGCAAAATTTGTACAGTTTACTTGAGTCTCCGACAGGCGCAGTGCGAACTTTGGCACTCGTACTGGTAATTCGATGGTTGAAATACAATCCAAAAGCCTCTTCCGAAGCTTTACCAACAGTCTTGTCTTGTCTGAACAGTGAAAATGTGGCGGTTGTTGCGACGTTGCTGGAAAAACTTCCCGAATTGGTCACTCTGATGCAGGAATACGGAAAAGTTATTTTGGCCAAAGTTTTTCAGCTTGGCACCAATTCGGTTTTAGACACGACCAGTAGCATAACAAAAACTATTGATTTGTTAAATTTACAGTATGGTTATTAGGTTTAGTCAGTAGTCTTATAAGATATGTATTAACTTTGATAAAAATGATTGAAATAGATTTTAATTTAGACTTTTTCTTCAAAATGTTGTTTAATTTCAAATCGCTAGGTAGGTGATGTGAAAATCCCAAAAAGAGGCCCATAAGTTACAGGGATTTAAAAGAGAAAAAGGGGAATTTTCAGAAAAATAGTTTTGATAAAGGTCAAAATCTAATCTAACAATTATTATAGGGACCCTCCTCTATAGTCATTAGATATCTTTACCGAAGGCGGTCCGAATGAAATAATTACGCAACCGGAAGAGACGCGAGATTCCTGACCCTTTAAATAAACTCATAAATCCAAACACCCAACGACATTAATTACAAGGCTAACTTGTTTAATTGTGTACACGCGCTGTCGGCGTTTTTGAATAGCAGAAACGAAATTCTTGCGTCATACTTTGATAAATACTAAATTAAATTAGGACACGCAGATTCAGGGGTCATCGGAGATAATGATTCCTAGAAATAGAGGAGATGAACTATGAACTTAAACACTCGCGGAGATTTATGGTGGGATTGAATACTATTTAAACAGATTACGATGAGAGGAAGAGGCAATTGAAATAATCGAAATTTAAAAATTACAATACATTTAGAAGTAGAATCAGCAGTTGATTTATAGTAAGAAAGTAGGGAACAGTAGAAATTGGCAGTGATTTGAGCCTCCTCCATAAAATTATTTTCTTTATTTCTGCCTCAGGCCCAAACTAAATTCGCGATTTACTTGACTATATTGACAAGTTAAGAAGTTAGAAGTAAATTCAAATATTTTATTCGGTTTTGTGCGTGCTAAGCAATTAATACAAAATTCTTTGATAGTTAGAGCCAGTGTAGTGAATTAGTGACAATTATTATAGTAAGTACATATAAGATAAGAAGACTTTTATTTGAAATTAATTGCAATGACTATATAGCAAAACGCGCCCAAGTACTCTTTTCAATTAGTTAGATGGTAAATGGCGAGCGGTATATTGATGGTGCTTATTTCCTTGAGCGGCTACCTATAAAATTGTGGAGGGAGTCTATTCGCAAAAGAGAGAAACAAACTATTGAGGTTTACTAAATTATATTTTATTAGGTATACCTACTCAAAACGAAAATTAAAATAAAGCAAATATCTTTCTATGTCTGTCAACCACTTCTATTTTTCCCAAATCAATTTATTTCCCATTAATAATTTCTAAGTTCAAACATTTAGGTACTCTTTTAAAAAATACTTCCGATTCACATTCCTATTAAAACTGTGTTGCTGCTAACGCGTTGAGTGTCAGGTAAAAGTATTAGGTAATCCTGAAACATCGAGTGGTATTCAAAAGGTTATACAACGAACTAAACTTTAATACTTTATTAATTTTTATTATTATTGATAATAAATGAACAATTATTATAATAAATATTGCTAATCCCTGTTTGATTTTCTACAGCACTTCTGATGGGTTGTTTTCAGAAGTGAATGCTCCATGTTCTTCCCTCATGATGGAAATAATTTTACGATGATGTTGTTCAGTAAGCTGGAGGTACGGCGTCACGGAGTTTATAGAGCTATGTCCAGTCATTTTTATAAACTCTTGAAGATTTGCACCAGAACTAGTAAGTGTGCTCACAGCTGAGGCTCTATGAGAATGATTTGTGAATTTTTTGTTGTTGGTGTTGGTATCCAATCCGCTGCTTTTTGCACCCAATTCCGTCCATTTACTGACAGTATTAACGCCAACCGGGCAGTTTTTGTACCAAGGAGATAGAGCGCTAGCATTCCAATTTTTATTAGCAGTCAAAAATAGTCTATTTGTTTGAATGTTCGTCCCCCTCTTAGACATCAATTTTAAAAAAAGTTGCACTTGACAGAAATCAGGATGTAAGTAACACATTTTTTACCAGCCACTTACTTTCTGATACTCTATTGGCGCCTCCTTGAGTAGTTTTGGTAAATATATAATGGCCGAGTTCGTTTTTGTCATCTTTTTCGTCGATTTGCTCCGAAATTTTGGCAGGCACGTGATTTGTAAATTGAAACTGTCTTATCCAGTCACGTGCCTGTCAAAATTTCGGAGCAAATTGACGAAAAAGATGACTAAAACGAACTCGGCCATTATATTCCAGGCGACCGGTAAGCGACCCGTCATTGTGCCTTTCCTGTCTGAAAAATTCCACCTCGCAAAAAGCACCTTCGTTACCACGCCATGCCAATTCGGATGCAGCAATAAAAAAAAAACTTTTTTTGAAGTCCATCGGGAGTGTTTTCGTTCGAATTTGAGGCCCATTTTTCAATTTCTGGTCTTGTAAAAGCTGTCGAGCTCACTTTCCGGGCACTGAGCACTTGTTGGAGTTCTTTTCTCTTGGCATTCCTAGCATTTCGGGCCTCTTGAAAAACTTGATCATTGAAAGGGTCTATGCGCCGATTATGCTTTTCAAAGTAAAGGTTTTGTAGCATTTTAGCAGTTTTATTCCAAAGAAGCTTGATGACACTTTCTTTATAATTGCTTCCATCTGTTTTGCGCATGTTGTACGCCCAGTCCTTCAGTATTTTTGATAGTTCTTCCTTTGGCGTCATACTTTCAAAGTGGTGTTTTTTTAGCAGGGCATTAAAGTGAGGAAGTATGTTTGGCTCTAGAGGCCATTGCTCCACAGTGGGTTAAATTTCCCCTAAGAGAGGCTGAGAAGCAACTTAAGAACGATGATTCATGGCCCAATTCGGATTTCCGGGTATCGATGGTACCCACCACTTACCCTTTTGAGATTTGCGCTATTTTATCACAGTATTTTTACTAAATACTGAGGCTAAAATAACATTTCAGGGAAAGGGAAATATTAAAGGCGGTTATTTTGCTTCCCAAATATGAAATTAGGAAATATCTCTGGGAAATATTCAAAACAGAACTGTTCAAAATATGACAAAACCTTTGACATGCCTTTGACAAAACTACAAAACATAACCAATAATAAACAAAACATAAACTCTGACAGAACTGGAATGTTCCATGATAATGTGTCAGAAAAAGATAGAAACAATTTTTCCATTACAGAAAGACCTAAACGGGTCTTTCTATTTCTCTATGCCGACCGAACACCGAACGGGACTCGAGTGCTGCCGAACTGGCATACAGAATAAGGTTTTGTGATAATAGAAAGAAATTTATTGCCTAGAAAGAATTTTCTATGAAAAACAGAGATTTTTCATATGGAACACCCTGTATCTTATTGGTTCAGTTGTTTAAAAAAAAATTGCAAGTTCAACGATATATAACACATGATATTTTGTTTTGGCCTAAATGGCGAAAGTAACAAAAAACACTTTTTTCCACTATACCAATACAAAAAATAAATTTAGACAAATACTTTACGTACTAGTGCGTCAAGTATTTGTAATTTATGCACTAGTGCGTGAAGTAACTTACAAGAAAAAATACTAGATTGACTTGACAGTGTCGATATCTGTCATTGACATTACTTTTACTGGTGTTGAGTGAATTACTTTACGCACTAGTGCGTGAAGTGAAATTTTACATATTTTGAATAGTGTGTAAAGTGGGTAATTTACGCACGGTAGTTGAAAAAAAATTGTATGCAATATGTTTGTGAAGCACCCACTCATGTGATTGTCGTCACAATGCACATTCGTGATAAGAGGTTCACTTTACACCACTTGTTGCATAAATGGCTATTTAAAAAAAAAATTGTATGCAATACGTGCGTAAAGCACCTTTTTTCACTCATGTGATTGTCGCACTCGCCTTGGGCTCGTGCGTCAATTCAAATTCGTAAAAAGGTTCACTTTACGCACTTGTTGCATAAATAGCTATTTTGTATTGGTACCTATAGTAGAAAAAAGTGTTTTTTGTTACTTTCGCCATTAGGGCCAAAGCAAAATATCATGTGTTATACATCATTCAACTCGCAATTTTGTTCCTAAACTACTGAACCAATAAGATACAGGGTGTTCCATTTGAAAAATCTTTGTTTTTTCGAATATCTCAGAAAATAAAGCCCCCATATTTTTTCTAAGTACGCCACTGCATTCTTCGTAAAAAAAGACGTATTTTTCCTATTTGCACTTTTTCTATATCTCCCTAGTTATGGAGAATTATAGAAAACAGGTGATTTTGAACCTTGTACCTCGCAAACCAAACTTGTTGGCCAAGATCTGACTACACCATCAAATGACACACTAAAAAAGAGGACGAGACGCGTATATCAGTTTCTCAGTAACTTCGGCCATTTTGGCTGTACCCTATAAAACTATCGAAAATCAACCACCCCACAATATAGTATATTAAAGTATAAGTGGATATTAAGTAAAATGCTAAATTCGTGCTTGACATTTGTTACATTTTATTTCGGCGGGCGTAATTTCGACCGGTTATACAACTCACTGTACGTTATTCCCATATGACAAGAGAGGCTTAAAAAGTGATAAGCCTTTTGGGATTATCGCGCTTGGTGGCAATATTGTTCATTTGCCAATAAAAATTAATAAAGTATTGAAGTTTAGTTCGTTGTATAACCTTTTGAATACCACTCGATGTTTCAGGATTACCTAATACTTTTACCTGACACTCAACGCGTTACCAGCAACACCACTCCTCCTTCGGAGTCGTGGTGTTGCTGCGTAACGCGTTTCGTGACAGGTAAAAGTATTATCCGGTAATCCTGAAACCTCTTGTGGTATTACATTCGATAATCCCCTCGTCTACCTGCCCAAAGCAAGAGGCCCATTTATTGACATAAGTAATTTCGACCGAGGGTTCTTTGCAGAGAAAAATTGTTACAGCTTCATGCAAGAGAAAAGCCCAGGAAGACACATCGGAAAAACCTTCAAAGATTATAAAAATCGTCCTTTCAACAAATTTACCGGAGTAATTGATGGCCATGGATATAAATCTTATCGGAAGAAATGTCTATAACAGTCGTCAGAAGATCTTGCCAGCCCTGCCTAAAGATATTCATGAAGGACATGAAGTACATACTGTAGTTGACATGTATTCTCTAAAAACGACAACGGGCGAAAATTTTTTGTTTATCAATAGTTCAGCAGAAAATATCATTGTATTTTCTTGCCATACAAATATTACCACTTTGTGTAAAATGGATGTTATATACATGGATAGCACATTTTCTTTCTGTACGAAGTACATTTATCAATTATTTACCATTCATAGACTGGAAAATGGGCCTATATTCCCCTTATTTGAGTTGTACACGTTCTCCTTTTTCTCGACAGCAATTTTGTCTTTGATTTTAGTTTAATAAAAAAGCTTTTATACATCATTATCATTATATTTTATTATACCTACCTGCTCCTTTGGGTCGAAAATACTCATAACATAAGATCGAACCCTCAAACCTCTGGTCGAATTTACATGTCCCCTTCAAGTACCTGTACATATTCCGGTCGAAATTACATCCGCCCTTTTATTTGACGTTATCTACAAGTACCTAACCTACAGCTGACAAATCAATAATTAAAAAATTGACATTTAAACCTTTCTCGGGTTGTTGCTTGTTGATGTTGTCATTGGTAACTTTAAAACACGCGCGTTTTTGAATGTTGGATTTAAACACGCTGAGGAGTACTTTGAATAAGTGAAATAGGTTATCAATAAAAAAAAATATTTTAATTAAAACTTTTCATTACTTATGAACAAAACCCTTACTTGAAAATCAAAATCTCAACCAGAACAAAATAAACTTTCAATTAAATAGGTATTTTCGATACTTCTAACGATTAAAACTTTTACTTAGGATCATATACTCAACCAGAACAATACTATTCTCAAATTCCAAATCAACATTACACAATGTATTTAAATTCTTTTAATTAGCTACTAGAGCCCTTAATCTTCGATAGTCAAATCCGATTAAAAATCTTCAGTAAATTCATTCCACTAATCCGGCAATCTCTAAGTGCATTATAATTTCCTATTTAAACACTTATTACCAAAAATATTCAAGTCATTTCACTCAAAGTCAATTAAATTTGTGCAATAATGTTCCATAGTCAATTCACATTCATAGTCATTGCAATTAAATTCAAATAAAAGTCTTCTTATCTCATATGTACTTGCTATAATAATAATTATCATTAAATTCCCAACACTGGCTCTAACTATCAAAGTATTTTTGTTTTAATTGCTTAGCATGCACAAAATCGACTAAAAGATTTGAATTTACTTCTATAACTTCTTAACTTGTCAATATAGTCAATTAAATCGCGAATTTAATTTGGGCCCGACGCAGAAATAAAATTTCTACTGTTTTCTATGAATCAACCGGTGATTCTACTACTAAATGTAAGTGTACTTTTTAATTCTTGATTCTTAATTGCCTCTTCCTCTCATTGTCATCTGTTTATGTAGTATTCGATCCCACCATAAATCTCCTAAGGTTTTCTCCGCAATGACCCCTCCACCTGCGTGTCCTAATTTAGTATTTATCGATCTAAGATTTATCTACTCTCAAGAATTATCGTTTCCGTTTCCGCTTGTTCAGAAAGGCCGACACCGCGTGAACACAATTAAACAAGTTAGCCTTGTAACTAATGTCGTTTGCTGGTTAGACTTATGAGTTTTTCTATAAAAAAGGCAAGAAATCTCGTGTCTCTTCCGGTTGCGTAATTTAGGACCGCTTCCGTTAAAGCAGTCAAAGATAACTGCTAACTACAGAAAGAGGTCCGTATAATAATTTTTATTAGATTTTGACCTTTATCGCTGGCTTAAGCAGGGAAACAGATAACTACATTAATTATTATTTTAATTTGAGAGAGAGAATCCCAATAATTGAGACTATTGAGAGTATTTTATTTACTTTATTTCTTTCCAATTCCGCAATTATCTGATTATTGGGATTTAATTTAAGATAAAGTTATTTGATTGAATTTAAATTTTATTAAGGTAAATAATAATTGCCGAACTATTTTTTCGAAAATCCCCTTTTTCACTTTTTAAATCCCTGCAATTTATGGCCTTTTTTTTGGGATCTTCACAGTAGTATCAATTAATTAAGCCCTATTGGTAAATTAATGAGAGAATTTAATATTTTTTCAGCTAAGTACCTACTTGAAAATTAATAGCTAATATTGTTAGTGGACGGTTATTTGCTTTCCAAATAAAGGCTTATCATAAAGATCAAAATGACACATAATTACTAAAGCCAAAATAACCAGTCATAAAGGAAAAATATTGTCTCTATTTTCAGATCTTGAATGAAAGATACGAGGTTGAATGAATATTATCCAATTGGTTAGTAAAGAGATCACAATGGAATGATCTTTATTGAAGTCAGGCAGTGGAAAGCGCAACAGGTATAGTCGAAAATCAGTTTAAAGATGTAAAATTTTGCAATGTATAATTAGATATTGTATAATACTTCTGGTTTTCGTATAAAAATTACTCAGCAATTCTACCCTCTATAAATTGTGAAAGTTGCCCCGTATATCAAAACATCATAAAGGAATTAATTACTTAGTTTGTAATAATTACGTTAATATCTCTCGCGTGTTTAGAACTCTACCTAATAAAAACAACATCCAGTGCAAACAGAATGTGTCATTAGAAAATTACAACATATCTACCATAGAGTAGATTACATTCTTCATTAAACTATTAACATGTCTCGCCTCACTTACACTTATCAACCACCGTTAGCAAATCAAAGCCCTAAGTTAGAATCTGATAAAAGTGATCCTGTAGAAATTAAGTTTTTGTGCCTCGCTTTACGTCACAAAAAGATTCTACGCAGTTTCCAGGTTCTTATCGCTTGCATAAATATTATAGCATTTATTTATTGTGTTATTGGAGTGACAATGCTGTACAATGAATTAGCCGACTTCAAAAACGAAGTTGTAATCATGATAAATTGCTTTACTGATTTCCTATTGGTTGTATTCAATATAATTGCAGTCATTGGTTTTACAAGTAGCCCATTTACAATAGAGCTATTCGTTTTTATAACTCAGAGCTCCAATCTTTTAGTGAAAGAGTGTAGAATATTTGTAAGGACATTGCAAATTTTACGTTGGTGCCCTTTACTATGTATGGGTTTGGAAATTTATTTCATTGGTGGAGCAGTAGGGTGGAATATTTTTCAATGCTTCTTCCCTAAAAGTATATGGACTTTCAGTTTGAACTTGATGGTATGTGGCTTGGTATGCCTTATAGCTAAAATAAGATGCTATTTTGCTGCCATTAATCACGCTATTGAAGATATCGAAAAAAAACATCTGGCATTTCAAAATGAAGATAGTACTGTATACGTTCTGAGAGAATCTCACCCAAAAAACGAGGAAACAGATAATTATGTTCAATGTTTGAATCATATTTCAAACCAATACACACAAATGTGCAATTTTATTGATAGATTCAATTGTTATATAAGATTATTTTTGGTAATGGGGATATTGAGTATTACAGTTAATATTTTATGTAGTTGCAGCATTCTTATTGAATTTGGAACCAAAACTAAAACATTATTCGATATTACAACTCAAAGAGTTCTTCTGGCTGTTCAGCTAATATCAATAATTATTAATGTGGTGAGTTTTTTATGTCATTAAATTCAATATCAAAATAGCTATTTATACAATAAGTTACGAAATGAGCGTCTTTTAGGCACGCGACGTGAAAATTGTCCAACGAGGCAAAGCCGAGTTGGACAACACGTCGAGTGACTAAAAGACATCGTTTCGTAACGTATTGTATACAAGATTTTTTCTACTGGCATTTTATAATAAAAAAACACAATTTTATTTCATGTGAATAAGTCGATTACACCCAAAATCTTTGTTACCTGCTTTTACTTGACACCTGACACTTTTCATGCGATTTTCTTTTCAAAATTCGACATCAATAATTAAAATCCTAGAAAGTAGGTAATAACACAAACTTCTGTTTTGAGTAACCCAAACGTTCAATTCAGTAATTCCATTTTCAATATTCATAATAAATACAAAACAAAATTCAAATATGTGTTTAGTGTGTTTTTTATTTCTGAATAATGAATGACACTTTTAGGCACTAGTGCTTAAAAATTACTTTTACGCACTCATAAGTCACTTTTACGCATTCAAAAGTCACTTTTACGCACTGAGTGCCTAAAAGTAACTTTCACGCACTCAGTGCCTAAAAGAATGTCGTTTCAAAACTGAAATGACAATCGAAAAGTTGCTATTATGAAACGTCAGTAGAAAAAATATTTTTCGCATGATACCTGCCGACATCCAGAGTCTCTTTGGTGTAATGACCATTCCACAGAAACTGATTTGGTACTAACTGGTTTATTAATTTATACTATTCATATTTCAGGGTCAAATCGGTCTGTGTGCTCTAATAGGAGAAGATTTGCAAAACGAAGGCCAAAAGACTTCATCAATTTGCTACTCCATTTTGAACAAGTTAAATCGGAATTCGAAAAATGAAAAGAATAATCTTTTCATGAAAGAGTTAAATTTCCTGGTACAACAAAGCCAATCTCGAAAAGTGTGCGTGCACGCTGGAGGATTTTTTCAACTCAACTGGGGAATACTTGGATCTGTTACTTCGACTGTTGCTACTTATTCAATAGTTATTATCCAATTTTTGATAAAAAGGGATTAATTGAATTTATTCAAACTACGTAATTCAAAAATTCTAATTTAGATGTTAGTTTATACTGAAAACTTTCTACAAAAAAACAATAAACCGTATTGAAATTATGAATTATTTATAAATAAAAATCAAATGATAATATATATTATTTAATCAGCCTATATAAAAACCTAACAATAGCAATAAAGTCGTGATATGTACACCGAAATACATCCTATAACTACTACATAATAATAATATACCTCTATATCTATACTAAGTATTTGAAATATTTATATAATTTAATTTTTTTAATTGTGAACAGCCAATTTTAGGACAGGTGTTTTGCATATTTACATATTTTTTAATATTATTATTGAACTTTTAATTATTGTATTTCATATGTTGCCTAATTTAACTATGAAATATTTATTATTAAAGCCACTAACTGTTTGTTGCACTTCATTATTCAAAAATTAGATTTTGTAGTTGAAAAAATAATCTAGGTATTGCAATAGAAATTAAATTTTCTCGAATGTTTTAACTTGAATCATAACATGATAGGTAATAGGTACTATTAGATTTGATCCTGTAAATAGATTTAGGTAGATATTAGGATTGCGAAAAAAAATAAAAATAATTCAAGCATAGGTACATGATTACTGTCAATCAGTTCTGTCCTATTTAAGCTTTACATGTAGTCTTTATATTATGTACACAATAAATTCAATAGTATCTGTATCATAAATATATTATTCTATTTAATTTATGCCTATATGACACAACAAACAGATAGCAGGAAATTTTCGTAGTTTGGATTCTATGTACCTATGTACAAGCCATGTTTGCAAAACTCCTACAGTCAATACATAAAAATGAACCTTTTATCATATATATTTTCTATCTACTGACACTGTGACACTGAATACTGTAAGATATCTGATATTGGAACTATTTTTCTTCAATACATACAGTAAAACTAAACTTTACTCAAATGACTAGGACGTAATTTAAAACATCAACGAGTAAAAATCATGGAACTTTCACAGTCAAATTCGAATGCTCTAAGATCGTTTTGTTGAACAATCTTTCGTTTTGGACACTAATCTCCTCTATCCTAGTCTTAAGTTCTTCAATTTCCGACGCTAACTTGTTGATGACTTGGCCTTGGACAACAGGATCAATTACAACCGGAGTTGTTGTGTTCAGTTTAGGAGGTAAATTTTCTTGGGACTGATTGGATACTGGTTCTGATTTCAGAACTGTTACTGCGATCGGTTCGTCGTTAACTGTTTGTTGAATTACTGCTGCATCACGACCTGGAACAAATTTGAACTTTTGGTGATTTGGTTAGTATGATTTTCTCCTATAGAACAGACTAACCCAATTCATAATTATAAATCTTAATACATATTATGATATTTATGGAAAATATCCGATATCCACATACATACTACTGTGGCGCGTTCGTCAGCATATGTACAGAATCTAACTTGGAATCTAGAAAATACTGCCTTATTTGGGTAAAAAGATTTTCGCGTTTATTCTGGATTCTACACGAATAGATTGCGAATATATAAAGGCCGGTATTAGTAGTTTTAAGTTTAGGATTGGCTGTGATACGTTCGATAGTGATTATTATAAAAGTTGTAAAGAGTTAAGTTGTTTGAGTTAATTAGTGAAATAATTAGTGTCAGAGTGTGTTATAACGTGAAATAAATTATTTTTGTGTTAATTGGATTTTGATTTTGGAATAAACGAGCCCAAGATATCTGTCACGCATCCCAGAGACGTGACATTGGTATCAGATATAATTCGAGGGTTGCAAAGTGAAATCCGAGTGCAGAATAGTGCGTGGACGCTAGTGTGGACACGACACCAGTGAACACTGGAACAGTTAGTCAGTTTAAGCAGTGACAATCACTAAAAGAGACTTAACCGATTGTGTAAATTACCCTGGAAGTGAATGTATGCTCGATTTTGACTGTGATAGTGTATTTTCAAGTAAGTTCTAGAAAATTCTATTTGGAAACCAAGGGAGATATATCGAATTTGTGACTTCACCGACGTAGGTATTTGATATATCAATCGTCATTCAAATAAAAAAAACTCGAGGAGTTTCGGGAAAATTCTAGATATTCTATTTGGAAACCAAGGGAGACATTGAAATGGTGACTCCCCCGCCGTGTTTGCTATTGCTATAATTCTAAAACATTCTATTCGAGAATAAAGCAAGTTTTCCAATTTGTGGCTTCACCGGCATGTTTGGAACTTCAATCAAAGACTAGGGAAGATATTTGAAGAGAGTTTGAGGGAAATTCCAGAACATCCTGTATATGCCTATTACGAGAAAACAAGCTAAAATAGAAAAACAAAAAATTGAAGAACTTCTGCGCGAAATGTTAGAACTTCAAGAGACCAAACGACAACAAGAAAAACAAGATGAAGAGGCCAGATGACAAAAGGAAAAACAAGAAGAAGAAGTTAAACGATAACAAGAGAAACAAGACGAAGAGACTAGAAGACAAAAAGAAGAACAACAAGAGGAACCTAAACGATAACAAGAAAAACAAGACGAAGAGGCCAGGCGACAAAAAGAACGGCAAGAAGACCATGGACAACTACAGAAAATATTTCAAACCATAAACGGATTTGTCGGTAACCTAGAGCAAAATATTACGGAAGTAGAATTCGAAGTTGAGGACGATGTTCAAGAAGTTAAAAACGATGTTCAAGAAGTTAAAGATGATGTTCGAGAAGTTAAAAACGACATTCAGGGAGTAAAAGCTGAGGTCAAAGCCGATGTCAGCAATAAAGACAACAAGTTGAGGACCAATAAGTTCAAGCACTTCAAGGTAAGGTGAATAAATTAGAAATACAGTCCATTAATCCAGGTAGTGTTGGAGATTGGAGCATTTTCTAGTATGAAGATAAAACCACTAACTTTTGACGGTTCTACATCCTGGACCATGTATATCCGACAATTTGAAGCTGTTGCAAATACCAACGGATGGAATCACTGATAGTGGCGTTACGAGGACCTGCCTTAGATCTTCTTCAGCCCATTCCTTCAATCTACCAACACAATTACCAGCATCTGAGTTAGACATTAGAATTGCGCTTCGGAGACCATTACAGGCAAGAAGAATTTAGAGCTCAAGCTAAATCAAGAATTCAAAAACCCGGCGAGAGTTCACAAGAATTCTAATAGGAAGTTAAAAGGCTAGTATGAGTTTGGCGTTTCCTGTAGCTGGGGAAGACATGCAGGAATGGATGGCAGTATCTGCGTTTATTGATGGTCTCAGAGATTCCAGGATCCAGGAAAACCTGAGAATGTCTAAGTTCAGGGAAAGTAGCGAAGCCCTTGTCCGAGCATTGGAACTGGAAGCCATCTTTGGTGCCTCACGACCCAGAATAAGGGTAACTTCGAGAAGGTTATGAGAAATTTTATGGAGAAAATGGAGAAACTAGTACCTACTAGAAGTTACACAGATGGGAAACGACTCCAAACAAACACCAACACCGAGAAACCGAGTAAAATGTTACCGGTGCCATAAGCTTGGACATATGCAATAGGATTGTAGACTAACGATATCCTCTCCATCTAGGAATCGTTCCCAACGCTTTTGGAGATCTAAAGACGCCAGCCCTAACATCGACCTAGAAACCTGCATGAAAATGCTGACGCTCTGTCTAGACGGCCATACAAAGAAGACTACAAGCAGACCAGGACATCGGGCAAATTCTACATCTTAAAGAAAATGATAAATGTAGGCCAGAATGGAGGGAAGTGTCGAACAAGAGTATGATTTACAAGGCGTTGTAGGCTCAGTGGAACTATCTGGCCGTAGAAAAAGGTTTTTTTAAAATAGTTTGGGAAACTGCCGATGAGAAATCCACTGAGAGCCAACTGGTTATTCCAGAAGGTCGAGTAGAAGATGTGTTAAAAAAATACATGACGGAACTTCTGCGGCACATTTTGGAGTTAGCAAGAGTTTGGACAAAATTCGGGAACGTTTTTGCTGGGTGAGATATTAAAAACTGCATGGAGCCGAAAATGCGACATCTCTGCTATCAGTGAAGTTTCTAAAACTAAGATCTCGGAGGCCCATGAAACAGTACAACGTCGGTCTCCCATTTGAACGAATAGCGATTGATGTTGCCGGACCATTCCCTGAGTCAGAGCGTGGTAACAAATACATCTTGGTTATCATGATGGATTCAGTAGATGGCCAGAAGTTTTCGCCATTCCCAATCCAGAAGCCATCACTATTGCCCAGGTGCTAGTGGACAAAGTTTTTAGTAAGCATGGTGTGCCACTATAGAACAGGCAAAATTTTAAGAAATGTGGAAAGTTATTTTTTTGTTGAAAACGATAGCTCTCTTATCATAGAATACAAATCTAAAACTCCCAAAAAATCAGAAGTGAGCTAAAGTCACCATTTGAAAAAACATAGCCGCTTGCGTTATTTTCTAAATTACTTCAATTCATGCACGTTCCCTTGAATTCCGGGCCGCGCGGTTAAATACTCACCTGGCATTGGTACCATAGACTCATTGGAACTCCCCCCGCCACTCTTCACTCTATGTTAATTTTATTTTCATGCAGTTTGAAACGAGTTTTTCGACTTTTTGCGTTGTTTAGTAAGGCGAGTTTAAACAACTTTATAACTTTAATTTAGTGCGTAATTCACAATTTAGTGCATAAGTTTTAAAGTTAAATTTATTAATTTCTATGGAAGCGTTTATACATCTATTCTATTTAATGCTTAATTCATAATTTAGTTCATAATGGATAACCTTAAAAGTTCCCAACTTTTAACTTTTATGCATTAAATTATGAAAAAACTGGACCTTTTGAGTTCTATCAGTGTCAAATTTCAAAATATCAATAGAATATTAATTAAATTTCAAAAATTATGTATTAAATTATGAAGTTGTTTAAACTGTGGTAGGTATTGAGTTATGTATTGAATTACGCATTAAATTATGAAAAAATTACGACTTAAATTTTTCAAAAGTTGTTTAAATCCGCCTTAAGAGTTTCATTTACTGCATTATTAAAGGCTTTCTTAATTATTATAATAAATGCAAATTTAAACAACTTTTGATAAATTTAAGTCGTAATTTTTTCATAATTTAATGCGTAATTTAATACATAACTCAAAACCCCAGTTTAAACAACTTCATAATTTAATACATAATTTTTGAAATGTTTCTATTGATATTTTGAAATTTGACACTGACAAAACTCGAAAGGTCCAGTTTTTTCATAATTTAATGCATAAAAGTTAAAAGTTGGGAACTTTTAAGGTTATCCATTATGAACTAAATTATGAATTGAGCATTAAATAGATGTATAAACGCTTCCATAGAAATTAATAAATTCAACTTTAAAGCTTATGCACTCAATTGTGAATTATGCACTAAATTAAAGTTATGAAGTTGTTTAAACTCGCTTTATTAGATTTATATGTAAAATGAATAACAATGATAACATTAATGTTTCTGTGTTTTGTAAAAAAGTTTTGTGTCAGTGAAACTGTTAATGTGGGCGCAAAGGGACTTCAGTCAATTTTACTTGCAAGTAAACAAAAAGGGGACCAGATTTTGGAGGAATTGAAAAACGCAACAAAAATTACCGTTCATCATTCTTCTAGGAAAACCTATGTTAGAAAGGAGTACTGGAGTTGGAGTAGATAAGAAAGAATCCACCATCTACCACTTTCCATAGATAAGAGCAAAAATAAAAAAACATCGAGATCTTCTGTTAGGATAAGATATTGATTTCAAAACAAATTGTCTGATCTGTGGTGAATCTATTTGCAGGGGCGTGCCGAGTTTCTTGGGGGCCCTCCCGCGAGATTTTCCTTGGGGGCCCCGAACAGTTTCAGTAAAAATAAAAGTAAACAAAAAATATCATTAAAAAAATTATTACAGATCATAACATGGAATAAAAAATAAGTACTATGACTATGAACTATGAAAAAAATTGTGAAAATAATAGTTATTTATGTATCAAGGGTACTAAGTAGATGATTATGCCCTGAGGGCGACAGTTTTACAAAGCCGAGGGCCTCTGGCCCGAGGGTTCGTAAGTCGCCCGAGGGTATATATATCTATTAGTACCCATGGTGCATACAAACTTTTATGTCATATCAGTTGGTTGTGAATAAAAATACTTGGGAAAAAAGTGTCACTTCGCAATTTGTCATCAGTGTGCAAAATCATCATTTTTTTGACAAAAATAATATGTTTATAAGCGTAAATTTATATTTTGTTAATAAAGAATACGTTAATTGAAACCCGTTTTTTGCGT